ATGATTACTTATTACATGATTTACATCCTTCGTGATCATTGACTTCCATGGATTACATTTGTGAAGCTTTAATAGTTAGTAGTTCCCGTTTACTCACTAAGCATTATATGCTTACCGTTTTAGTTGTTCACATTTTTATAGGCCGTGTAGATAAGGCAAAGAACAAGCTCGAGTAGATTGAGATCTTTGGTTTTGGTGCTTCCAGTAGCACGACTCTTTTGGTATTATATAGTTAGTCGAATACAACTATGGATTGTAAATTATTAGTTGTCTTTTGGTTGTAATTAAAGTATCTAGATAACGGGTAGCTAATGTCCTCTGTCTTGTATATAGTTTAAGCWTTATGMAAATCTATTAWGTTTATTTTGTCCGTTTTAGGATATTTTGGAAAACAGGTGCTTACGGAAATGTTCTGTAAACCAAGCGGATATTTCGAATTAGAAACTCGTAAATATTATATCCCGTTTTCTTTTTCAGTCTGCATCCTTATCTTTGACTTCCCTTGAATAGCGAAGCAGACTTGGTCAAGCTGCCTCAAATCTGTTAGACGCTTGCGAGAATGTCTGTGCTAACACGCACGCGTTCCGTGGAGAAGGTATCCAGAAGCTCTGTATATACTATGCAGAGGCTCTGTATATCCAGAAGCTCTGTATGTACTATGCAGAGGTTCTGGGTCTTGGAGTAGTTGCTTTTAAGTCAAGTGCTTATGCTTTTTGGCTCACAAGACTTAAGCATCCACGGAGATAGAGCGCGAGCTCTGTATGAATGGAACCTTTACTCTGAGTAAGAGCTCTGGTTCTTGATCTTCTTCATAAGAGCTCTTAGCCAGACAACTTCTATAGACTAAGTCCTATTGACTAGAGTAAGACACTTCTTACTTACACTTTCACAAGTTGGGGTTTAACAATCTCCCCCTAAGTGTAAATAAGAAGAGCTCTTACTTGAATTACAAAACAGAAGTCTAATCAAAGACAGAGGTTAAAAGGAACCTTTGGTTTACATTTACTATCTAAAGAAGTACAATATGATTTGAAATGGAAATTACATCAAATTAAAGATAGAAAAGTACTTACAAAATATAAGAGGTCTAGACATCTTGAAGTCTAATGAACTTCCTTAGAAGTTCATGAAACTCAAGCATATTTCGTATCGACCTTAGGATAATTTTGGCTCGCTCCTTTGCTCCAGGGGAGTTGTCTCTGCTCCTGACTAGATTATCTCTTATGTAGCACATAGTAGAGTTGGAGTACTTGTAATTCTGGTTGTCTCGAAAGAAGATCTTACGTTTATCCTCGTTTTGAAACACCACTCCCACTTTTGGTTCCACCAAAACCGTCCAAGAGGGGATGTTGTTGATGCCCTGCAAATCTTCATTTGCAGCAGCGACTGTCAGTTGATCCACTCCTAGATTCAAAGCTATTTGGAAGTCGAACTTGCATCTGAAGTCGAGCAGGTCTGTCATTGTTTGGCGAACGACAGAGTTGGCAACATCGTATTTGACTCCCTTGCCCTTCTTGTGATATGTGAAGTAGAACAAATGGAGAGGATCCCATGGATTCAAATTAATAAGGTCACAATCTGTGAACCTACAGATCTGTCCGCGAGATCTCTCCACTGTGTACTCGTGGAATACAATCTGATTATGCGCGAAGGTATGCTTTTTTATGTCGAGGATTTGCTTTATTCCATCAGCAAAGTTGACTGCAGTGATCGATTGACTGTAGGGATCTATGAATCTCTGCCTGATGTGCTCTTGAACCATAGGATGAAGACTGATCTTCTGGACCGGTGTCTCTTCTCTTAGGTTGTTGAGGAACTGGTAGATCTCCTCGTTGTCTGCCTTATCCTTAATAGGTTTATCAAAGGGAGTTGGCATGAACATGGCATCCATACTTTCCTTGATCCTTTGGACACGATCAGAAGGATGCTTTTGTTTTTACCCGCTGGTTGTGCCTTCTAAGTCCGCTCTGTTTGGCTTGACATGTACCCGCTGCCTCATAGCAGGAGTGACAACCCTGGTCCCTTGAGCAGGGACCCTTGCTCTGTGTATATGTTGATATGGTGGAGGAGCAGCAATAGTGACTTCTTCTAGAGGAATGGCAACTGGAATGTGCAAAAGTGACGGATCAACCACATTCACAGCTACCACCTCTTCTTCTTCTTGTGCCCTAGTTGTAGGAGCAGCCATGTCCATTGTGTACTCTGTTGATGAGGACAGAGCCAGGTCAGAATCAGACAATTCATAGACAGATAAAAGATCTATGACCTCTATGTTCCATTGTAGCCCAGCTGGCTCTGTCTGTGACGCCATGGGAATTTCCCCTTTATGAAGCGCCTCTGCATTGTCTGGCGCTGGTTGGCTTGGTGCCCTCTGCCTTGAAGGATCTTGAGCTGGTTGGCGTGGGGCAGAGGATGTTGGTGTAGAGGGGGAAGCCATAAGTGTTGTACTTGGAATGGTTATAGGATAGTTCTCCCCCTCTTGACGATTTTGAGGACCAGACTCGTCTGGGTTCTCATCATCGTCAAGTCGTCTCCTCTTCGATGGTTCAACACAAGGAGATGGATCCATTCGTCGCTTTGGCTTCTGGTCCTCTGCTTGAGGCATTGACTTGATCGTCTCCTTAATAACATTGATGAGTTCATCAACTGCAACCCCAACCTTTCGCATTTCATCATCCGAGCGGTAATTGAACCTGGCCAGAGTATCGTTGATGGCTTTCGCTGCTACTGTGGCTTTGCTATTGAAGTCTGAAGTGAAGTCCGCCACCTTTTATAGAAGTCTGTCACCCAGAGCATGCATTGCTCTCTGTGTGACATAATCCACAGGTACGCTCAGAGGAATACGGGATTAGGTGTCATGAGATATGGATGCCTCAACCCTCTGTATTGATGCAATGACCTGTTTTAAGGTCTTTGCATTATGTGTCGTCAATTCCACAAGTGTATCGATACGAAAAGCATTCGTCGAAGACTCAGCTCTCAACACTGCCAAGGATGTTTGTATCTCATCCAGAGCAGGTGCAGAAGGAGACGGCTTTGCACGGGCCATGATGAGTTTTAGCTCTTCCAAGGAGCACCGCATAGAGGTGAAAAGGGAATGGAACTCTTCCCTTATGATATATGCAGGTGGTGTAACCTCTGAACACATGGATTAGATTGAGTCCCCGTTCCAGGGACGCCTTCATTCATGACTTGATTGATGTTAGTGGGGAAGGACTTCTAGAGGATCCTCGTGGTTCTCCTTGAGCAGAATTCACTACCTCTCTTCTATTAGGGTGAAGATCCAAGGCTGGTTCAGAGCCAGCTAGAGGGCTCTCCATGAGTGGACTAAGAGACTGGTCGAGAGTCTCCAAGCCATGTGCACCTATTCCTTGCTCTGAACAAGGTTGGGAGTCTACACATGCAGAGGAAACAAATTCCTCTATATGGGATAGTGGCGTGATATGGGGAGACATATCATTTATGTTTTCAAAGGTTTCACCCTTTTGAGAGGGTGTTCCCTGTGGTGAGGCTTCCCTTGGGCTGATATAACCAGAAGCAGATGCGACCTCTGATTGGATAGGCTGGCTTGGGTTCGAGGTATGCACCTCTATTTCAATGACCTCTGTGTCTCGACCACTGGAGTAAGATGACTCGTTTGCACTGGGAGTTGGGGTGGTAAATTGAATGTGCCTATTTATCCTAGGCTGCTCTTGCTTACCCTGAGGCAGAGCAGCTTCTACACCTCCTCTCTCTTCTTCCTCCTTGCTCTCCTCTTCTCCTTCCTCACTTTCTTTTTCTTTCTCACTCTCTTCTTCTTCATTCTCTTCTTCTTCTTGCTCACTTTCCTCACTTGTATAAGACCTTGCAGCATCGTCGTAGTGCTCTTGGTCATCCCCTTGGTTTGGGCTAGAGGATTGAGCCAAGTGTTGACGAGCTTCTTCCTCTGCTCTGAGTCTGGCCTCTTCCCTCAGACGAGCGATCTCTGCCTGGCGAGCTTTTTCTGCTCGCTTCTCCTCTGCTCTAACACGAGCAAGCTCAGCCAATCTCTCTTGCTCTGCTTGCTCAACTTCTTCCTTT